AATATTTTCATAATTTTATTAATAAAGTTATTTAAAATAATATAATCCTTAATAAGGTGTGGCGACTTAGTATAGTGGTCTAGTCGTTACCTCTCCAAGTGGCAGGTCTAAAGTTCGAATCCCACAGACGATGATATTTGAAAAATAGGCTTGTGTTCGGTTAATGGCTAATGCATATCAGTTGGATCTAATATGTAACTTCGGTCACACCATTTAGTAATAGAAGCAATGGCGCAATAAATACGAGGAACTAGCATAACCAAAAACCCATTTGGGAAGTCCCGAGTTAGGAGTAACAATGATCTTCGATAGTATCACAAGAGGGCTGAATTTGAACCGGGGCCCGAGATTGGAGAACCGAACGACCAGATTCTAATGGTGGAGAATACACCAGCTGAACCGCCGGGTTTTGTCGCACCAGAGGAAAAGAACATATGCTCCGAAAGTATGTACCAAGGAGAGGGTGTCCTTCAGGTACCTAAAGCCTGGGCAAACTGACCCTTCCGAGTTGCCGGCTGGAAGTAAGGGAGAGACCGATAAAGAATCCGGGTAAGAAGACGGTCCAAATGCAGGTATCAGGGTTGTTGGGAACCTAATAAGGGCAGAAGTAGATAATTACAGAGGTTCAATGGTTAGCCTTGACCCCAAGTACATAGGTAGAGCCATGGCATAGTTTACTAAAGTCTAGATAAAGAACACATGTATGGAACATGTGATATCTAGCAAAATAGAAATATCCTGCCATCCAATGATCCAGAGGCACCCAGAGTTGGGGTAAGCAAACTTCATGGGATGTGAGAACCAATGGTGAGGTAAATGGGGTTAATACGACTATACTGGGCCATAAGGTTTGGTATGTCTTATTCAAGGTGGTTCTAGAAGTTCAGAAACTGAAACACTGCAGAGGGAGGGACCTGAGACATCTGCAATAGGGGATGACTAATTAGGAAGGTTGTGGCTTGAGATACAGATCGGGTTTCGGCAGTACCTTAAAAAGTAGCTTGAGATACGAACTTGGTGATGGCAGCATAACAGGTACTAGTTAGGAATTTGTAACCAATGATATACTGAAAATCTTGTAAAAATAATGTATATTCATGTACATTCTACTATAATGAGTAATAAAGAGGCAGCGTCATTAAAAAAAATATATATATATATAATTCTTAATATTTTTTTTTTTTAAATTTCTGACAGTCTTGCTAGTACTTAACTTATTAAGACTATATTAGATAAGAGTTGAACTTTCTTAAACAATATATATTATTTATAACCAAAACAGAGTCTTACAAATTATGAGCCTAATATCACCTGGCTGCAAACAACTTGTTGCACCAACCTGTATACAAGTTAAATAAACTTTGTTAGCTCATTAAAGCTTTTTCTTTCTTAGTTCTTTTCTTTACTAAAAGAAAAAGAAAGCAATAATTTCATATCTAATACAAAACCACCAATACTATCAAGAAAACAAACTAAAAAACTAACTAAAAAAAACAAATAGAATGAAGTTGAATTTTTTAAAGGAAAAAAAAGAGGGTACAATAAGATATAAAAAAAAAAAAATCACAAAGAAAAGCTCGAGGGCCAATAAGAGAGAACTATCTCTATCAAGAAATAGTACAAATGGAACGAAAGAAAAAAAAAAGCATAACAAAAAATACACTATTATAACCTGTGTCAGGTTAAAAAAAAAATTATAATAACTGCAATATTTGTATATCTTACCTATAATATAAAACCTTTATTATTCAATTACCGGCCATCTCTGAATGCCTCTTATGCCAGAGACCCAATTCCAGGACCCTGTATTTACAAATTACGTTGTATATTGTATTCACTAATAAACAGAGTATATAGTTGTATTTTTGGTTATATTCGAATTTGGGAAGTAAACAATGTCAATCTTTTGAAAGGGATAAATCAAATCATCTACTTTTTGTCAAAAATTTTAGAGAAGACTAGCCAAGCAAAAAACACCTACATTAGCAAAAATATATAAGCATAAACTTTCGTAAATTTTATAGTATATAAGAAAATCGTAAACTTATATAAAAATATTACGCAAATTTACACTTTTTTACGATGCATAAGAAAAGCGTAAATTTGCGTAATATTTTTACATAAATTTATGATTTTCTTACGTATCGTAAAAACTTATAGAAGTTTAAAATATTTATAATGCACTATTCAAATTATAAGTCATAATGATAAATCATTTGATTTATATTTTTTTATAACTTTGTGAACTTACGAAATTTTACAAAAATTTAAATTGATTAATAATTTTTTTTAAATAAATCAATAGCAAGATACAAACTTGCAAAGCATTTTTTAATACTATGAAATAATTTGAAACTTTTTGCACTTTTTTTTCTTAGGCTCATTCAAAAATATAGCTATAAATGATGATCACTTGATTTATATTTTTTTGTAACTTTGTGAACTTACAAAATTTTACAAAGATTTAAATTTATTAATAATTTTTTTTAAATAAATCAATAGCAGGATGCAAACTTGCAAAGCATTTTTCAATACTATAAAATAATTCGAAACGTTTTGTACTTTTTTTTTTTAGGCTCATTTAAAAATATAGCTATAAACGATGATTATTTGATTTATATTTTTTGTAACTTCGTAAACTTATGAAATTTTATAAAGATTTAAATTGATTAATAATTTTTTTTTTAAATAAATCAATAGCAGGATGCAAACTTGCAAAGCATTTTTCAATACTATGAAATAATTTGAAAATTTTTGCACTTTTTTTTTTTTCTTAAGCTTATTAAAAATATATACTATAAATGATGAATTACTTGATTAATATTTTTTGTAACTTTGTAAACTTACAAATAGGGTATGGAATAGGCCAGGTTGGGCTGGGCTTCCTTAAACCCAAAACATACACGAAAAAAAATTTTTGAGCCCAATCAAGGCCAAAGCCCAATAAAAAGCCCAGATTTGAGGCCGGGCCAGGCTTTTTTTTAAATTAGGCCCGGGCCTGGCCTGGCTCAAAAAAGTTATATAAAGTACTTGAAACTTTACTATTATACATGTTCATGATATTTTTAATTAGGCAATGACTATTTAGGCATGATTAGTCATATAGTTATAATGATATATTTTTTTGTAAACGATGCTACAATATCAACTAAGATTTTGTTTAAAAGCAAAACCAAGTTTTTATAAATATTCATCGAAACTGCTTTTAGGTATAGTAGTATTTAATATGAATTTTGTTGTATAATTCGCTACAATTCTTATTCAAGCTAAGCATATAAAATTATTGAAAACACACTGTAATTTAAATCTATATACAAAATATAATTCACCATATCCAATTTATTTTTCAAATAATAAACAAACTATGTTCTAATTATGATTACTATGACATATTTAAAACTATTTTGCTTAAGTAAAATATGTAACTAATTATAACCTTCTATTAATAAGCATTATGTAAGTAATATTTTTTCTCGATCTATATTATAGTTAACAATGTTCAAGCCTATATAATTTTCAGTCATCATGTCACACAAGTTTGTAAAAAAAATAAATTAAATATATTCTAATCGATTAAATTTAACATTTGCTTTTGACATAAAAAAAGCCTTACATAAAAAAAAAAAAGCCAGCTTTAAGGGTAGGGTGAACGTAGATCATTTCTTATATAAGTAGATTAACCAAAAAAATATTATACAAAAATCGAACACATGTTACATATAAAAGTTTTTAAAAATATAACTGATTTTCATAAAAGTTTTAGGGTAGATAGATTAGACCCTTCTAATTCTAATTATAATAATTTGAACCCCTGTATTATTTAAAAAAAACATACTTGCATATATTATTAATTCTTCCTAGATTGATCGAAATTTGCCTAGATTACACAATATAAATATCATATGATCATCATCTGATTTCAATTAAATGTTATTGTAAAAAAATTAGTAACATGATCACTAGTAAAAATGATCGATGTTCACCCTACCCTTAAACATGTGGTCTGTCATCTTCTAATTCGTTCCAACCTTCTTTTTTTGTACAATTTATCCAGTCTTGACTACATATTAATGCTTCAATAGTTTCTGAGATAAGATTTGACTGATAGTTGTCAATAATCCTTCCTGCTACACTAAATATCTAAATAAATAAATAATATAAATTAGTTATATACTATAGAAAAGTTAACAATATTTAGTTAAAAAACTTTACTGCCTCAAAAGCAACAGAAGTTATTGGGACAGCAAGAATGTCTCATGCCATTGATGACACTGATGGATATTTCAATTCATTTTTCTTCTACCAACTTAAAATATTAAACGGTTCTGCACAAGAACAGGAAAGAAGCGGAATTGTTTAAATTCATTCGTTTCATTTGCAATATATATTTGATTATTCTCAAGAAAATGATTGAAATCTTGCATAAATTTGTCTTGTGAAAAAATATCAAAATAATTATTAGAAGAAACTATATTTGCTTATATGTTGATTTATAAATCGGCAAAGCTCTATATAATATAATAATTACAAATTAGTAAAAATAATAATATTAAAAAAAAATATAATACTGTATATACAAAATAACTTTCCTTGTTTTAATAGTATTCAATTTATCTTCTGCTTTTGTGCGTGATAAGTGCATTTTCTGCTTATATATAAGAGTCAATAATGATATTTTATAGTGCGGATCCATCATCGAAGCAATACAATGCATATTTTCCGTATTAGCCCAATATTTGTTAAACTTTGATAATATAGACGTAACTATTTGACAAATAAAGGGTTTTATATTAGTAATATTTTGCTCAAGGTGCATCTTGATTTTTACCATGTGAGAAAGAATAATATTTGCTGTCGGATATGTGCTTCCAGATATAATAGTTATAACTTATCTGAATAAAGTATACTTTTAGTAATATGAAGTCTAAAACATTATAGATTTATAATTATCTTTAGAGATGTTAATGATCCAGACTGATTAGTCCGGATTATTAACATCCCTAATTACCTTCATAAAGCAGTTTTAAAAATTTATAGACATTCTCAGCTTTTTTCCAGTCTTCTTCGGAAGGTATAATCTGCCCAAAATTTGAATCTCACAGTGCGAAACATTCAAAGACTCTTTTATATGGGATAGTGGATGTTAGTATCAAATATACCGAATTACAGCAAGTAGGTACATCAAGAGCTGATCGCAGACTGAATTGGAGCTCATTACAATACCCAATTACAGCATTTTTAAAATTCTGTTGCCAATATGGCAAACCATCAATTCACTTCATACATTCTCGAATTTTGGATACAACATTTTTCACCATTTTAAGACCATCACTAATGATACGATTTATTATATATGCACAGCAACGTTGATGTAACAAATTTCCTTAAATTCAAAAAAAAAAAAAAAAAACTGTTAATTAATAAAAAAATTAAAGCTTAGGCCATATAAAATTAATTAATTGGTTTTTATAACTACTAGGTTGTTATAAAAACCAAGAAATTAATTTTGCATAAACTTATTACTAAACAATTTTTTTAAAATTTAATTTATTATCACTATTCGCAATAAGCATATTTTGTTCTTCAAGCTTGTACTTTTTATGTCTTATTGCACAGTCATTGCTAGTTGTATTATCCATGGTAATTGATAGAATTCTTGATGCAATATTCCAGTCATCAAAACACTTAAAAAGTGTTTTACAAATAATAATTCCTGTATGTGGTATGGGAATCTTTTTAAATGCCAGAACTAACTTTCGAAGCTTCCAATCTTTATTGATAAAATGACAAGTAACAGTCATATATCCAATAGTTTGATTCGAAGTCCACAAATCGGTTGTATAGCTTAGATTGCCAGATAATTCTTGTAATATTATGTAGACTTTTGCTTTAAGTTCATCAACAATAGCTATACTATCATCATATATGGTCTTTAAAGACACTACCTTATATTGTGGCTATAAGCCATTAACAAATTTTATAAACCCCTCATGCTCGACTATACAGAACGGATACACATGTCTAATTATTATTTCTGCATGTCTTGATGACTTTTTGATTGAAAAAATTTGTACATAACAAGACCTAAAGAAGATAACTGCAGCGTTTGTTGTGATTTATCAGTATTAAAATATTTCTTATACTTGGTATTCTTTAAATAGTGAATTAAAGAACTGGTTCCAGTGTCATTATCATGTTTTAATTCATTTTTACAATGTATATATTTAACATAATCTTCTAGCAGATTATATAGTATAAGTATTAACTAATTATATAATATATTATAATTAATAATTTAGCTATACAAACTTAATGAATCGGTTTTCATAACATAAAATTTTTAAAAGTAACCCAGGTTATAAAAACCAATTTGTTAAATTTGTATAGCATTATAGTATTATTAAATAAATAATTTACTCTTTAAAGGATCTTCATGCCTAACAAAATGACCTTCTTGGAAAACCCACGATAGCTTTCTACCGCCTTTTTTACGTTTCTTATTGGTAATAGTCACTTTAGAGTTTTCATTAATAGTAGTTATTTCGGCATTTCTATCAACAATATCAGAATTTACATCAACAGTATTTATGTCGGGCCTTTCATTTTCACTAATGATAGAATAAACACTTTGCATTTCTAGTTATAATATATAATGGTTAATAAGTTAAATAGAAAATATAAAACCAAAATTTTTTAGTACAATAAGTATACCATTATCCATTTTATTATATTAAAGCCAGCGTCATTTAATTAATGATTTTGGATTTGATTTTAAATATTCAAATTGCTAATAAAATATTATAAATGAATTGTTTTCATTAGTAAAATTTTGACTTTACAGACTTTAAACCATATTATATTTTATATATAAATCATACAACTTCTTAGGCCGTAGTCTAAACAAAAAATCCAATATTTGATTCTTTTTCTTTAGCAGATTATTTTAATTTTCAAATAGGTTCTCTTTACCAATATCTCTAAGCCAGATACCTGGCTTCTTTATTTCGCTTGATATACTATAGCAATAAAAATTAAACCTTGCCTCATACAGTACTGTATAGTTACAAAAACCTATTAAAAAAAAAATCAAGAGTTCAAACTTGTTTCTTTACTAATAACATTTTCTCTATTAGACTCACTTAATTTTTTTAAGCTTCTTTGAAGTATACTCTAGTACTAGCCATCTAGCTTCTGTAGTTCTCTGCTTGGCGCACTAAAGAACAAAGATTAGATCTTTGAAATTGATGCTTATATCGCATTATTTGTTATATACAATACTAATTTTGGAGACTCATACCGTAAATTAAAAAATCAGATGATAAAATCCATAAATTAATCAGATGATAAGATCTATAAATTGATTAATGCAATTAACCTGCGATTGTAACGATAACATAATTTTTTTTAAGCCAAATTTAAATAATGAAGTAAAAATAAAGGTCTTTAGTAGCAATATAGAAAATCTAAACATAGTTGCCTGCATTCTTAGTTTAAAACTATTGCTTATATAAGCCATATTTATTACATTCGCATGAGATATCGATTATTTGTTTTAAAGCTTTTAGCATTAAAAATAAAGTGGCTATTTTTTGGACGCAAATATGTAAAGTAATACTTGAATGGCCTTTATCAATGGATAAATTTTTGAAAATAAAAAGTGGTTAATTTATTCATTTCCTAACTAATTAAAATTTTATATTCGATCATTTGAATAAGGTGCTTGAAAACACCCTTATGCAAATAAATTAGCAATTTATTAAATGAATGCTACTAAGAAAAATAGCACTTCCAACTTTCAATTATAATTCATACCGGATAAATCATATAGATTGTGTCTGATACAAAATATGATTAAAAGTGTGAAGCACTATTTATTTGGCAGTACTCAAATAAGTATTCTATTGTTTAAGTGTTTTAATGTCCTTATATAGTCAAAAAAATATATATTTAAAAAATTTTCAATTGAATATTAGTTAGATTTACATTCTCTGATTGGTTACTTTTTGTGTTACTAGATATTATGGGTATTATTGGATATATTTATAAAGCCCAAACCCAGCCTAGTAGTTTATAGGCCCTAACACATACCCGGCTCAAATTATAAAATATAGGCCCAAACCCAGCCCAAACCTGGCCTGGCCTGCAAATTTCCGGGCTTAGCCCGGCTCATTTCATACCCTACTTACGAAGGTTTACAAAAATTTAAATTAATTAATAATTTTTTTAAATAAATCAATAGCATAATGAAATATATAAAGCATTTTTCAATACTATGAAATATTTCAAAACTTTTTGCATTTTTTCTTAGGCTTATATAAAAATATATATTATAAATGATGAATCACTTGATTTATATTTTTTGTTAGTTTGTGATTTCACAAAAGTTTACAAAAGATTATAAAATAATTAGTAACATTTTAATAAAATTTACGGTGAAACAAACATTGATAACTTTTAAATTATTTTTCAATACTTTGAAATATTTTGAAAGCTTTTATATACTTGTAACACTATTCAAAAATATACTATAAATGATGATAAAATATACATTATAAATTTTTGTAATTTAGTGAATTAATCTA